AAGGGGGTTATATGCCACTAGATGCATTGACTTTCTTCCAGTCACTTTTTGTTGTTGTATTGCATATTACCAGATGTTTTGAAACACCAATTTCCATTTCTTTTAGTACTCATAATTTGTAAATGCTTAAAAAGTGATTATGTATTACTTATGCCTGATAGCAATTTGGTGTGATTCTCCCATTTCTTTTTCTCATGTGTCATTATAGCTCTCTAGAAACCAAGGTGAGAATTCCAAAGTTAGTGCTGACCTCAGACATTGTTTTTCTTTGTTAGACATATGGGTTAGGATTTGAAAATGACTAGGAAGAGGTACATTCTTTTTATTCTGATTAAAAAAGACAAGTAAAAGATTAATTTTAGCAGGATAGTTTCTGTTTTTTAAAATCTTGATCCTAAACTCCATGATTAGCAGCCTAAACAAAGTGTTATTAAATGATCACACAGGAAACGGGATTAATGTGACTTCCCATCATTGTGCTAGCCTGGTCCAGCATGATAAGGTGTAGACCTGACCCTTGTAGAATCAGGTTATGCTACCTCATCTGAATCGTGGCAGCAAATAGGAGACAGGATTGCCAGGGACCAAAGCTGTTAGAAGCAATAAGAGCAAAATGCCCATGCAGTTATTGGCTCACACCAGTCAGAGAATCCTAGGATCAGTGAGCAGGAAGTTCGTTTAGCCTCCCAGAATTGCTGTATGCTTCAATTTGCTGGAGTATTCCTCTTATTATCCTGTCCTTACTGGTTTCCTATTTCAAACACTACATGGATGACAAATTCACCTGCTGAGTCACATTTAGCATCTTTTTCTCTTTGCTCTCGAGATGTACAATGGATTTAGGGGAAATCCAAGGTTACAAGACCTGTTTTCTTTTGGAGACGGAAGAAAAGCACACGCTGAGCACTTTCAGCATGAGTGAGGTATCATGGTTGGCAGATGTAGAGACTGAGGCGCAGAGAGATTCTATAACTCTCCCAAGGTCACATGACTAGGAAGAGCGTGGTATAACTGGGGTTTAAGTGAGGTCTCTGACCCTGTGTTTGGTGTTCTTTGCATGCCTCTAAAATGAAGCCATTGCAAACTCTGAAGAAATGCTCTCCCTTGCCTGTATCAGTCCCTCTTTATAAATGCTGCTTTGGCAGATTTCCTTGTATTAAGTGGATGTCTGTGATCGCGCTTTCTTCCACCTCTCTCATTTAATCTCTTTATGAGGTCTGGGGTGTGATGTCTACCAGAGCTGAAAGGAGAAACACTCGTCTACAAGGAGAGCTGGCAGACTGAGATGTGCCACTCATGTTGGATGTTAGTGCTGGGAATGGGTTCCCCAAATCTGCAGTGCCTAGTATCATTAATAGTGAGATGTGCTGAAGGGTAGACCAGATGTCCAGCAGCCAACTGCCTGTATCCAGTCTCAAGCATTCACGTGAAGGAACAAACAGAGCTTCAGAGGAGGGAGCTGACTGTGAAAGTGAGGTCAGGGAAGGTTTGGCAGTGGATATGGGTCCCAGGTCTTACAAGATGTTGAGGCATGGGTGGGTGTAAGGAGTGGGGGGTGGGTGTGGGGTTGGGATGGGTAGAGGGCACTGGATTATGGGGGGCCTTACATATCAAGCTGAGGAGTTTCAGTTTGGCCCCCAAGAAGGTAATAAGGAGCCATTATAGGTTCTTGAGCAGAGGAGTGGCTCAGAGAAAGCAGTGTTTATTCTACTGTGTGTGTGTGTGTGGGGGGGTGGTGGTGGTTAGATTGACTCTGGGGAGAAACCCTATAAACATTTGTATTTAGGGTGTATGAGGCAAAAGCAGCAGTATTGTCAAGTCAAGGCCAATTTATGTTGCTGTAGAAACTTAGAAAAACAGAGTGCTACAACAGCATCTTTTTCTGTGTCACTTTGTGGGAAGCTACAGGCTTGATGACCAAAGACTGGGAATTAGGGTGTTTAATTTTCACTATCTCTACCTTCTCTATTTGTGGTTGATGTAGGGGTTATTATCCTAGATCATTTTAGGTTGAGCCACATGAAATTTCCATTCTTTTGCAGGTCAAAATGGAAGTACTGGCAAATTCACACGGTTCCATTTAATCAATTTTGTAAATTGTTGGTGATAAGTAGACACAAGCTGGTCTTTAGCTTTCTGGTTGGCTTGATGGGGGTAGGTACCAGGATACTGCTGCTTCTATTTACCCTAAATGTACCACTGTTGTCCTCGGGAGGTGAGGCTGTTGCTGGAGACAAACCCAAAGGTTGTGCTATATTCTTCCTCTTCCTGCTTACAGACCAGGCATTCAGGGTCTCCTGATTTGATTCTCTCACCTTTAAAGAAGAAAACTTTGCTCTGGACTAAGGATTTTTAAGGGGGGAGGAGGGCTTGCACCTTGACATTGTGTTTTCCTAGCACTGCCTAGTAGCTTGATGCAGCCAGAACCCGGTTATGTTGGGGAGGTGAGGGATTGAGTTCTCACGCTTGCCCCCAGACACCAGAGGTTTTGAATGAGTTTGTGATTGCCTGGACAGTGGACTGAGCATGCCTGATGGTGGTGGAGCAGAGCTGCTCTGTCTTCACGTCCTTTGTCTCTGTGCCCTGGGATGGGGACCACTCTTATGGAGCCTCTCCTGGGTTCAGGGATGGGGTGTTCCCAGTTTACTCCCCTCACCACCAGGAATCAGGGCTGGATCTGGCTGAGAACATGCCCCTCCCCTCCCCCGACTCTGGGTACCACAGGGCCAAGTCATTGATCACCATACCTAAACTCCCTAGTTTCACTGGGACCTTGAGGCCGCAGGTCCCATCATGACTCACCTTACTGTCATCCTCAGTCACTATTCAATGTGTGAGCACTAACAGTGTCTGTCCTGTTTCATGAAGATTCTTATATGGTTCCCTGACATCCCATGCTGGACCCTTCTCTGGGACCCTCCTGAGCCCCCTTCCATGCTAAACTCTTCCTGCATCCCTAATGTATTCATCAAATGCTCCTTTGTCCTTCTGGTTCTCCCCTAAAAATCCCTCTCCTTTCCCTTCCCTGGAACAGAGAATTCTTTTCCATTGACTTAGCCTGATAAATATGTATGGCAGGTCCTACTCTGTGAGAAGCACCACAAGGAAAACAAATGACAACACTAGTCCCCCTGTGCACACACCTTTGAAGGTCCTCTTCCTTGGTATCCTTCCTTAATTTTCCCCATGAGGAAACACAGACTAGTATTACTGCTGTAGAACTTTCTTCCTCTCAACTCTCTGACAAAATTGGAGGCAGACTACAGAGATTATGAGAAGAAAAGGAATAAGAGATGTCCATAAATAGTTGAACTGTAAATGTAAGTGTTAAGCTCATAAATTTATGGCATATGGGATCAGTACCAGCCACTACTTGTCATCCAATCTGACACCTGTGTCTAGATGGAAATCATCTCAGGACAGATTGTGCATTATAATTAAAAAACAAAAAACATTCTGTGTAAATATGCTGGGCCAAATTGCGCATCCTGGCACAATTGGGGTTCTTGCTACAATTCAAATGCACATAAAAATTATTATCTTTAATCTCTTTTTAAAGGAAGCATAAACAGCAGATTCCTACACGTAGGGTAGGACAGATGGATCCTGTGGGGTAATGTAAATAATCCACAGCCCACCCTCATGGTGTAACTCAGTGACACATTCTGTCATTTTCCTGTTTCCTGACCCAGACTGAAATGGAAATTGAACCAATTTTGCCTCAACTGCTTTATTCTGGCTGGGCACAGTTGATCAGGAAATACGTCCTGTTTTATTCAATTATGCAGTTTATCAGGAAATACATTGAGAATGAGCGCATTTTCATTATTAAAGCTCTGAACATTAATATGACCTTGGTTTCTTTCTTTCTTTTTTTTTTTAGTATCAGGAAGAAAAACCATTTAGAGAAGAAAATTTCTATACGTACACTGAAACTTGTTTCAACTTCCTTTCTCTTTCTCTTTCCCTTCCCTTTTTTCTTTCCCTTTCCCTCTCTCTCTTTTTCTCTTTCCTTTCTTTCTCTTCTTCCTTCCTTCCTTCCTTCTTTCTCTTCTTCCTTCCTTCCTTCTTTCCTTCCTTCCTCCCTCCCTCCCTTCCTTCCTTTTCTTTCTTTTTTGCAACCCTAAGAAATATCCACCATGTCACGCTGGTCCATGAATTTTTGTGATGCCAAGTGAATTCTGCCTTATCAATATAATATATTACTACCAAAATGATAATTATCATACAAAAGAAATATTGAGACTGTAAGGACAGTATTAATAACTGGCCATCACTGTGCCCTTACTGTGTGCCAAACACCCCTTTAAGTGAACTTTAATTATTTTCCCATTTGCTCTTCACAAAAACCCTGGAAGGAAGGTGTTCTCATTCCTACTTCCTAGATGAAAAAACAGAAACCTGAGTAATTTGCCCACATTCACGCAAGTACCCAGTGGCCATGCCAGGATTCAAATCCAGATCTGTCTTCAGAGTCTGTGGTCATCACCTCTTCACATTTCCACCTCACCTCGAGTGAGTTGAAAGTCAAGCTGAAAAAACTCTTCTTGGCAAAGAGGTGGGTGAGATTTTGGTTCTTTAAGGTTCCAGAATGTTCTGACCTCTTGTTGGTATTTCCTGGGCAGCGAAGCTTAGACCTTTTATCTCAGCTGTATATCCCTGAAAGACAGCTCACTTTAGGGTAGCAGAAGTTGTGTTTCCAGGGTCAGGCCACGCCTAGTGAGGCCTCTCAAGGTGTGGCACATAATGGGGGCTCCTGGGAGGCTTGGAAGAGCCACTCAGGCCCAACGAAGACTTGTTCTGCTTTCCTGATCTCTTACAGGGGAGACTGGGGATTAGACCAAAAGTGCACAGGCTCCAAGATTTTAAGCAGATCCTCAAAGATCACACTTCTATAAAACCGTAATAGAAGCAGTGACCTTCAGTAAAGCTTTGGTGAAGGCCAAAGGGCTCTTTGAATCCATCATAACTGACACTGTGTTGTCATTTTCCTCTTGCAGAACATCGAGGCCTGTGTGACCACTCTCTAGAATCTTTAAGCTCCAGAATCACGGAGCGGAAGCTGCAGGGCACATGGCTGCCTGCTGGCCGAGGGAATCTGGAGAAACCACTCCTGGGGCCACGCGGCTCTGTGGTGCCCATGTTCAGCACTCAGAATGGTCTTCACTCCGTCCATGCTGACAGTAGTACCCTAAAGCCCAGGGTGGTGACCGTGGTGAAGCTGGGTGGGCACCCCCTCCGGAAGATCACTCTGCTCCTCAACAGACGGTCCGTGCAGAGCTTTGAGCAGCTCTTGGCGGACATCTCTGAGGCCCTGGGCTTTCCCAGATGGAAGAACGATCGCGTGAGAAAACTCTTCAACCTCAAGGGCAGGGAGATCAGGAGTGTCTCTGATTTCTTCCGGGAAGGGGACGCTTTCATAGCCATGGGCAAAGAACCGTTGACGCTGAAGAACATTCAGGTAGCTATAGAAGAACTGTACCCCAGCAAAGCCCGGGCCCTGACACTGACCCAGCACAGCCGAGCCCCTTCTCCCAGGCTGAGAAACAGGCTTCATAGCAGGGCCCTGAGAGGGGGACACCACTGTGGGGAGACCGAGGCTGCCAAGAGCTGCGGTGAGGCTTCCCGGTCCAAGGCAGCCATCAGTCATCAGGGAAAGGCCCCCGTGGAGCCAGCGCTGGGGGACAGGGCCAGGCCCCAGAAGAAGTGGGTCGGGGGGAAGTGGGAGCCTGAACCGGGCAGCAGGCCGCCCAGGGAAGCCACTCTGGAGAGACCTGCGAGCGGAGAGAAGCACCTGGGCGTGGAGATCGAAAGGACCTCGGGTGAGCTCATCCGATGTGAGAAGTGCAAGAGAGAGAGGGAGCTCCAGCAGGGCCTGCAGAGGGAGCGGCTGTCCCTGGGGACCAGTGAGCTGGACTTGGGCAAGTGCCACAGGTATGACGCAGCGGAGAAGCTGGTGAGGACCAGGAGCTGCAGGCGGTCCCCCGAGGCCCACCGTGCAGGCGGGGAGGAAGCGTGGAAGGGCGAGAGCCACAGGAGCAGCCCCAGGAACCCCACTCAGGAGCTGAGGAGGCCCGGGAAAAACCCGGACAAGAAGGAGGACAGAGACCCCGAAGGTCAGGAAGGTCAAGCTCAGGCAGCCGCCAAGGCCAAGAGGGAGCTCGGCGAAGCCCAGCCCGTCAGAGAGGAGGGGCTGCGGGACGTGAGGAGGGAGGCCAGGAGCGCCTGCAGGAACAGGCCAGGCGGCCGGCAGCCCAGGGAGCAGCAGACGGAGCCCGAGGCACTCCCGGGGCCGCGCGGGGGCGAGCAGGACGCGGACCGGGAGAAGCAGCCCTGTACGCCGGCGTCAGGGGCCAGAAAACCGGCCGCTCGCGGGGAGAGGGAGCCCAGGGGCGGTCGGAAGCGGCGGCCCGCGGGCCTCCTGGCGACCGACGTGCACAAGCACTACGAGGCGGGCCGCGTGCTCGGGGACGGCAACTTCGCGGTGGTCAAGGAGTGCCGGCACCGCGAGACCCGGCAGGCCTACGCCATGAAGATCATCGACAAGTCCAAGCTCAAGGGCAAGGAGGACATGGTGGACAGCGAGATCCTGATCATCCAGAGCCTCTCCCACCCCAACATCGTGAAGCTGCACGAGGTGTACGAGACGGAGGCGGAAATCTACCTGATCATGGAGTACGTGCAGGGTGGGGACCTCTTCGACGCCATCATGGAGAGCGTGAAGTTCGCCGAGCGCGACGCCGCGCTCATGCTCATGGACTTGTGCAGGGCGCTGGTGCACCTGCACGACAAGAGCATCGTCCACCGGGACCTCAAGCCGGAAAACCTGCTGGTAAGCCCTGACCTCCTGCTGGTAGGGAAGCATGTCTCCTGCACTGTTATCCCCCCATTCTGGAACACGGCCTTCGTGTTATTTTAACATTCTGTGCCAGTATTTAAAACTCTGGTTATAGGTCCTGAGTTGCTGAGATGCGTTGGTGTTGATGACATTATTGAAAAAGCAACCTTCCAATTTAAATAGAACGGGAAGTGCTTCCTCATTCCTGGGAGAAAAATGCTTCCGCCTTGACAGTGACCGGGTGGACTTAATTTCGGGTGTATTTGCACAGCCTCTGGCCTTGGTGCCAGCAGCAGATTCCCCTGTGGGCTTTGTATCACCTTTGCACGGAAACTCCCCCTGGCCTTTTGAAGAGAACCTCTTGTCAGGGGTATTCAAAAGGCTCAGCACTGCGGGGGCCCTTGTGTGAGGTGGGTGAGAGGCTGGCTCAAGAGTCCGATAACCTGGCTTTCTTAGTTACTTGCTGTAGGATAAGTCTTTCACCTCTCTGGGCCTTTGTTTCCTCATTTATAAAAGAGAAATAGCAATAGTACTTATCTGGCACGGCTGAGGGAGGATGTCTGGGAGCTGGCCTGGCATTCACCGCTCAGCTGTGGTGTTTTCCTGTTGACAATAGACAGTCTCAGAGAACACCAGCACCGGATAAGGACACTCCGCGACCATGATGGATCCAGACAAAAGCAAGACCCCTTTATAATTATGTCCAAATGCAGATAAAACCAAGATTGTCCAAACCACAAAGATGGCCACACATTCACTTTTGGCTACTAGGGGTGACTTCCTCCTACCTTCTTGGTAAGAATTACTGAGGCATCCAATTGTAGAATTACCCTCACTTCCTGACAGTATCCAGTTCGGAGCAAAATCCTGCTTTCTTGAGCCCTCCCCCAAATCACCTAACAACCCCAATCTTAAAGTCCTTTGAACACCCTCTTATTTGGCTTACTGGATCCCAGTGGTGTGCATTCTCTCTTATTGCAATGAGTCCGTAAACCCAGTGTTCCTTAACTGCAAGTGTGTTCCTGGTGGTCTCTGTGAGCACAGCATGCTTCACATGGTCACCCTCTGGCACCTTTATCCTACTTTTTTTTTCCTTTTAAGATCTTATTTATTTATTTGAGAGAGAGACAGAGACAGAGAGAGAGAGAGAGAAAGAGAGGGAGAGCATGAGTGGGGGGACGGGCAGGCAGAGGGAGAAGTAGACTCCCTGCTGAGCAGGAAACTGGATGAGGGGCTTGATCCCAGGACCCTGGGATCATGACCTGAGCTGAAGGCAGATGCTTAACCACCTGAGCCACCCAGGCGCCCCATCCCACTTTCTTCTTAGCCCTGATCGCCACCTGATACGTTCCCTATTTATTCTTCTTTTTTCTTTGTCCTCTTACAGGAAAGACAGTCCCATGATAGCAGTGCTTTGTTTCATTCAGACTTTACCCCAAAACCTTGAACAGTTCTGTCACATGGTGAACCATCTTTAAATAGTAGTTAGATGAAGGAAGGAATTCAGATCAGAGCGTGCTGCCTGCCAAACAGCAAGCATTCTGTCAGTGGTGGCTACCATCATTATTATTCCTTTAGAAATGACTCTGATGTTAAGGTGGATATCACGAGCAGGCATCCAGAGCCGGATTGCTGCAGATAGAGCACCAGCGAATGGGGAAAATGATCTCCATGAGCCACGTTTTTATTTATGTTTTCCTTTTTGGCAGGGCTTTAGCCTGTTTTCTTAAATTTCATGCCTGTAGACCCAGCCTGGGAGTATCATTCCTCGGTACATTCATATATCTGTAAACTGTGCCCACGAGCAAACAGAAATACTGAGTAAATCAAACAAAGTATCTGGTGAAATGAAGTCAATGTTGACCACAAAGTTGAGCGACCTTGTTTTGGCCCAAATTTATAGAATTGAAGAAGCAGTTTGACTGGTTTCTTGAGAGGTCTGAAATACCATCACATGTCTCCCTCTGAAAAAAGTTCATTTCTGCCTTAGCTGGGTGTTCTCATCCTTTCTTCAGCTGCTTTTTGATTGTTTCTGTCTTTTGGGTCTGAGCCTGTGCGTTCTCCGTGTGCAGTGTACTGTTCGCTGTTTATTATGGAGACATTCGAATGAGCCTCTGATCTTTTCACTGAATTGTCTCAGCAGAAGAGGTTCTGATTAGAGGCTTGGGTGGGTCCCCCTGAGCTGACCATTCTGGGCATGGGCCTAACCAAGCATTATAACGGTTATACAAGTTCTTGAGTATGTGGAAGGAGATAATGTATCCTCTAGGATTAATTTCTTTTGGGGACAGTCATCTCCGCTTGCATTTTCTCAGCCGGGTCCTTGAGCCAGTGTGTCGAGCCAGCTTATCTCTTGGGCAATAGCAGCTCTCACCTGTGTTACGGATGCACTCGTCAGCAGTTTTTAAAACGGAAAAAGCACCGGTTTAGATTTCATGGAGAAGTTTACTTGAGGAATTAGAGAAACTGCAAGGAATATGTTTAGTTTGGACAAGCTGACTGCCTTTTAGAGGTCATTTGACAACTCTGCATGGATTTAAATGTCAGGACATGTGTGTTGTTAGTGCCTTTAAGGGCAATGAGGTGTGTACGTGTGTGTGTGTGTGTGTGGTGTTGGGGACGTGTGTGTGTGTGTATGTGTGTGTGTGTGGTGTTGGGGACGTGTGTGTGTGTGGTGGGGACATGTGTGTGTGTGTGTATGTGTGGTGTTGGGGACGTGTGTGTGTGTGTTCTAGAGAGAGGCGCACAGCTACAGAGGAGCTGTAATTTTTCAGTCTCAATACATGAGTTATTCATTGGTGTTGGTTGCAACTTATATTTAGACCCTTTTCTCTTTTATGACTTCAAGGAAAGCCCGCTTTTTTTTTAAATGAACTTTTTTTTGTGGTGGTATGGCTCCTTCAGAAACTGCCAAGAGCTCCATATTTGAGCCATCTTTTGTGAAATAGGTTAATATCTTTTCTGTCCCGTGGATACTTTGTCAGCTTGCATTTATCAAAATGAACAGGTCTGTCACCTTTATAAGCCACGTTAGTCTTTTTTCTGGGTGAGTGAAGTTCAACATATTTTATGTCAAGTCTAAATGCTCTCTAATGTCAGTGTTTTTGGCTTTTCAGACAGAGTTCTGGATAGTGTTGGATTTGGCAGTGGGCTCATTGTCTGGGCTTAGAAGGGTGTCATCTCTCAACTTGCTGGTCTGATAACACATCACAAACTTGCTTGGTCTTCTAAGACTTACTATTCCTAAATACCACCGTGGTGACCACTGTCTCTCAATGAATGTTCTTCAGTTGCCTTTAATTTAGTGTTTTGCGCTTGTGCTGAGCTTTGTATTATCAAAGTGATTGTTTCTTTATCCTTCAGTAGATGGCCACTTTCTGTATTAAGACCTGACTTTGCTAAACTTAGGAAAGTGATTTCACGTTAGAACTAATATCTGACTACATGAGTGATTATAACTGTTGCTTCTTTTAGAGACTTTCTGAATGTGCAAAGAGCTCTTTATGAATATAGCAAACTTACCATGTTACTTTAATCAACAGAAATATTAGTGTCTAATAATTGGGCCCCGGGGTACAATTTTAGGCCTGTATTACTGACTTTGTCTATTTGTACTGATCACACTTCCTGATAAGATGCTAGCACTCCTCTTCCCTTTGGTTATTTCGACTCCTGAGATCTTGCAAAAGAAGTTTTAATTAGGAGAATTTCCAGCTTGCAGAAATGTTAATTGCTTCTCCTGCCAGTATGTGCCTCCCTTGGTGGGGTCGGAATGTGCTGTGTGTTGACGGGGCCCTGGGAGGGAGGGAGGGGGTGGACAGGAGCCAGAGAGGTGAGGATGATGAGAGCAGCCCACGCAGGGTGGGAAATGGGCAGGCCAGGCCCCTGATGGCCGACAGCTGTGATATTGCCTACAGCAAAGAAGGCTGAGCGAGTGGGTGGGGGAAGACGCTGAGGAGAGGTCAGACAGGAGCAAGGTCATTTGAGACCGTCTGTCCCAGAGGAAGGGCAAGAGAAGGGACAGGTTCCCGCTCTGGAACAGGCTGAAAGGAAGGAAATGGGCAGCAGGCACGGTGGCTGCAAAGTGCTTGGAGCAGAGACCCTCGGAATCCAGGGCAAATGGTGGTGGGCAGCCGTAGGGTCAGGTCACAGCTCATCAAGGATAAATGTGGTACTCTTTCTGGCCTCTCGTGGGTTCTGGGAAGGAACAGACTTTTCTAGGTTTTTAACTGCTGCATGCAGCTAGGACAAGGCCGTGACTGACGTCCCCAAGGCTGGTAAGGAAAATCTGGAAGGATAAAAAATGGCCCACCACACTCCTTGCCCGTTCTTCCTGGAAAAGAAACCTATCCAGTCATTTTGTTCATTTTAATTCTCTAAGTTCTTTTTTCCACTTCTACTTGGATGCACAAGAAGGACTCAGTGCTTAGTGCTGTGAGCGGGTCTGTGATGCACAATTCTCCCTGGCCGGCAGGACTTCTCTTTTTCCAGCTCCAGCTTCAGTCTTCTTTCCCCTTAGCATCTAAGACAGAGGCGTCCAGGTCCTCTCCTTAGCGGCCCAAGTATTCATGAATGCATTTATATACTGATTGCGTTCACTAAACATTTGATGCCTATGAAGCATATCTCGTTAAGGTATACTTAATAAAATCAAGAAATGGGGATTTCAGCGATAACAGGAAATCACGAAAGAAAAAGTGCAGTGATATAAGCCTTTCGGTCATTGGCCAATATTGATCAAGTTTGTGAGAAGACAGGTTTGTAAGAGACCATCTCAAGAATCCCAGAGTGAATTCCAGCAGGAGACATCAAGAGTTATGACTTCAGGCTTGTATCAGTGAGAGTGGCTCGTGGTCTCCATTTTAACAGTTTCCAGGAAAATAAAAAGTATCCATATAGTAAGTGAACCCACATATTGTCTAAGGCTTGACCACATAGCCAGAAGTTTCAGGAAATTTCTTAAAGTCTTCAAAATTCTAGATACTGGGTCATTT